AATAAATATGTTAGAACAAGGTATAAACGGTTTTACAATTATTTATATACATAACTTAGTATAAATGCTTTTTGTGTATTACAAATTTCATATTAAGGTTAACAATATCGCTTAAATATCTAGATAAATGATGATACGTTAATAGAGACTGAAAACTGTATTATAAACACATTACAAAGGTTTTTCCTGAAATACTTCTCCAGAAAATCTGCTATCTTCAATCTTCAAGTCAAATGGATACTTTTAGATCAGTTTAAAGGCTTTCTGTTTATTAAAAATTTAATATTAAGGATAGGAATATCGCATAAATATCTAGATAAATAATGATAAGTTAATAGAGACTGAAAACTGTATAAGAAACACATTACGAAACTTCTCTTTATAGGGCTTTTATATTGTTGTTCTTATCAGTGAGGGGAAATTCCCCTTTTAATAGGAAATTAGGAAAGAAAAATGGGAAAAACTATATATAAAAACTACAGCAAAATAATTTTTGAGGGGAAAAAAGTCCTGAGAAGGGGAAATCTGAATTGAGGCGTGGGGAAACGAAATCATTATAGTGGAAACACTGGTTCTTATTCAAAATAGATTGCTACATTTTGAAATACTTCCTGAAATCTGCAATTAAAAAACGTTCTTCAATTCTAAAGAAAACTCTTTGATCTACCCCCTAAAACTCGTTGCTGGTTGCCGGCGCTATTAAAAATGCGAATTAAAATTCGACTTGTTGTTGGTCGGTTATCACTATATCGCCTTCGTTGTTGTGTATGGTAGTTTCTGTTTTCGCTATTACTGGAGACACTTGTATTGCTCGCTTTTTCTGTGCATTTTCTGCATAAATATTTCAACACTTTCGCTTTTGTTTTGTGTCACACACACACTTGCCAAGGGAGCGGGGAAAATCGTTTTAATTATTCCCAACGTGAGCGGCGACCGACCTCCTCTTTCGCCGCACAAGTTGCCGTGCATTTTAATTGCATTATTATTTAATTTTACCTTTGCTGCATCTAATTTGTCGTCATCTTGCATTGTGGCCCGGTATTGTGGTTATTTTGTAATAATTTTTTGCTTTTGCCACTGAGCTTTTGTTTTTTGGCCTCTCGATTTCGTGCTGAGCACTTCCCACGCACTTTGCAGACACACACTATCTCTGTGGATTTTTGGTTTATTTTTTCTTTATTATTATTTGCCTGTTGTCGTGCGATCGTTTGCGTAATTGCAAAACACAAGACCAAAACAAATCATGGAAATAATTTCGTCACAGTTGACACCATTGTCTGCGAAAGTACGTCATGAAAATGTACATTTTGTTTTGACAGAAGGAGAATTAATGCAAATTTATATAATAACTAACTGGTATTGGTGTCTACATAATAGTTCAAAGCAGTTTGTTGGAGTTCATTGGACGATGATTTATGTAAATTTGATTAGAGTAGCCTTAAATATATAAAAATAGGTCAGTTTTTTATTAAACAAACCCTCTTCCACGTTTTGAGATCCACAAATCTCAGCTGATTCAACTTCCGTTGCGTCTGCGCAATTCTAGTGACCCAATTTCGAATTGATTTCCAAATTCATCCATTGTTGGCCCCGATTCCCTTGTGTTTGCTAATTTATCACCGCCTCTAGTTTGTGTTTCAGTGGGCGTTACGATTGATTTACATACAAAAACACATACAGTTTTTATTCGTTGGCCTGGCTTCTGACTTCTTTTGTGTGTTTTTTCTTCGCTTTGGTCATATTTCTTTGAGCTGCCCAAAAATGTAAATTTTTGGCAATTATGGAATCATTTAGCTTACCATTTGCGATCATATTGTTTGGCCCACAGATCGTTGGGGTTAACAATTCCATCAATAATGATCGCCAACAATATTGCCGGCTTACACAACTCATGGATTAGATTGAGGGAAAACATAATATGCAAAAATTTCACACACCAAATGGTAATTAATAAGAGCTCAAACAAAAACCAGAGCGCTGCCAGGCTATATAATAAATTAATTATAGCCGCAATATCAAAGCGAAAGGCGCCGAGAGCTCAAAATTGAGAATCAGGAGACACTCAGAGAAAAGTGATGATTAACATGAGGAACTTTTAAGTAAAGAAATGTTTTTTAAATGCTTTAAATACTTTTAAGAAATTAATTATTGTTTTAGAGGATTTTTAAGTAGCCTTAAAAGTAGTTTAAAGTTTGTAAAGTGAGTATTTCCAGCTATAAGATCCAAGCTATTTATATATAAAAATAAAAAGAGTGTTTATCAAGGCATTTCAATGTTTCTAAAAATAAAGATGACTGTAAAGATACAGCAAATTCTGAATCACTTCAATGTTTCCAACTTTTCTGAACAAATCCCTTTCCAGTTAACGCGATTACCACGCATTCTTTGGCTATTTTTCAGTGTACAAACTCACGACTGTCCGCCCCCCCCCCTTTTTCCCGCGATTCCGTGGAAGTAACACTAACAAATAATTAGCTTGTAAACTAAAAGTCATCATTAATAATGATTACCGCTGGGGATCTCTGCCGGGTTCTCTGGGACCGCCTCCGATTCTTCCATGTTGTGTGGGTGGCGGCTGGCAGATGCCGGCATAAACGTCAACATAATTAAGTGAGCGACTTCTTGGGGGCATCATGGATGGCATCGCCATCGACTTTTTCTACTCGGCTGCGATTTATTTCGCATTAACGTTAAATATTGCTTCCTAATTAACCACGGCCCGCTTGCCACATGCAAACAGTTGGTGGGAGTCACTCCGAGGCGCTATAATGACGCCCGATACGAGACGATTCACAATATATACACACAAACTCTTGTATCGAGTTTTGCCCTCGATGATGAGCAGGATGATGATGCGTCAATTTTGCGGCAGCTAATTAGTAGCCAGCAAAATAGAGAAAAAAGTAGAGAAAATAGAAAAAAAACACGCTTGGCATTTACAGTTACTGTCAAAAGTTCTGGGCCGGAATTTTCGGCACATGGCCAAGGCCCAAAACTCTAACTACGATTTGGCGTGACGCATTACAGTTAAACTGATTTCGGTTCGTTACAGTTTTGTGCCCTGCGGTCATCAGCCCCTCTTTCCCTATATGGTATACCCCCCAAGTTTTTATTCCCCAAACCCTCCTCTGATTAGCGGCTAATGAGTGCCAATGGGATTACGGCTAATTTACTCGTGAAACTAAAGGAAGTCATGCACTGCAAATGGGGTTTGATGATCCACTGGGTGGTCATGGAAGTGATTTTTGAAGTGATTGCAGAAATATATAATTACTTTAACAACCAAAAACTTGAGTTACTAGAACTATCATCAAGTGAATTTTAAAATAAACTTACAAGAGTGTTGAATTATATAGATTATTAATTTAACTTTTAAACTGATGAATTATATATGCTGCCTAGAGAGAATATAATTATTATAAAGCAGGTTTTTATATAGAGAAACTTATGTCATTTCTTATATAAAAGCCCCATTTTCTATGCTAACCTGATTATTTTCTTTTAATTCTTAAGTAATTCTAAAGAATCCAACTAATATTTAAGCCTTATAAGCTCACTCAAGCCTCTTAAAACAAAGTCAAAATCAATCGAGCTTGGCCAGTGAAGAGATCTCCATATGAAGCCGTTGCCATGGAAGCACTTAATTTAAGGACATGACCGTGCCCACTTTAAGCCCGTCCACTCAACTTTTTACGCCCCCGAGTCAGAGTCATAAAATATACCGACAATGCTCTTAGCCCGACTTTGGGTGCGATAAAAATTGATATATAATGGATTATCGTTTATTACACGCACGATTACCTCCCGCCCCCACATATCCCAACGCAGGACGCACGACGATGTCCTTGCCGGCGTCCTTCGCGGGATATGCATATTGTTTTCTTTGCTTTCCTTCGCTTTTTCCTTTTTGTTTTGTTTGCTTTTTTCTGTTTTTCTCCTGACATTCCCCATTTCTTCATTCTGTTTGGTGCGGCGATGGCGTACATTTTAATGAGCCCCACAATTTGCATCTGCAACTGTGCGACGGCCGCTCTCATATGGTTTTTCGACCCGCCGCGGCGCGAACTGACAAAGAAACGAATAAATAATCGTACAAAGTATTGCCGGCCATAAATATCGGATGCCCACGGGGGCTGGAGAGAACACGGGTGAAGATGCTGCAACGCGGGCGACGATGGAGACGATGGATTCACTGGATTCCGAGGACGCGGTGGATTCGGTGGATTCGGTGGACTCTGAGGAGGTGGCTGGATTCGCGCAATTTCCATGCAGCATGAGTCGACAATAAAGCGCCATAATATAAAGGCAGCAGCAACAGAAGGAGCTACAGGAACAGCAGCAGCACCCACAGCAGCAACATTTTCAGGAGCAACACCCAGAGTAGCAATCAGAGATGAGGCATTGTAATTGAAAAACTTCCCAAGTTCCGTTTAAATTTTAAATATATATTTTTAAATAAGTGAACTATTATATTTATCTTAAATATTGTTGGATAATCAGGAATGATTTCCATTTGGTTAAGTAGATATTGAAATTAGTAATATACTCATGGTCAAGATAAAATATTTAAATTGTTTCCTAAAATAAATGTGAAATAGTTAAATTAAATAACCTAATTTACTCCCCAAAGTTAGTTTATCCTGAAAAAAATATCCAAAATGGCATCTCTGTAAGCGGCAAAGTAGCAACAACAATAAACAAGACGCGCAGCAATTTCACTGACTACTGAGAACTTTACGTACTGTGACGAGGACTCGACTCCCACCTCAGTAACAACTCCTCCCATTCTCACCGTCCCTCCCCTGCCTCATGTCTTCTCAGCCTCCCCTCCTCTCACCCCTCCTTTTGAACCCCCATGCACCGTGTGCACTGAACGAAAATTGAGCCGCTGAACGCATGTTGCGCGCGCTAATGGGGCGTATGCGTAATGGTCGCGCTTATTAAAACTTAAGGAGGCGTGGCCGGACTCATTACCAGCGGATACAAGGTAGTATGCTTACCTTCCAAAAGGGAAATTGCGGCCCAGTGAGTTCCGATTCTTTTCGCTGGGCAACTGAAATGAAAGGAAGGGGAGGTTTGTTGTGAGTTGGGTATGGCTAAGCTGAGCTTAGGAAAGGTTTTAAATTATTTTTTAAATGTTTTAAAATGATTTCGATTAATAATATTCAACCGAATCAAAGAAAATATTATATACATCTATAATTTGTATGTTCTTCTTAATATAAAATTAAAATATCATTAGTTTAAAGCAGAAAATATCATCTACGACATTTATTTTGATATTTTACTGTTGATCATTTATCCATTTTATAATTTTAAAAATACCCTATTAATAACTTCTTTTAAAAGTATTTGCTTTCTGTGTTCTTCTTACAATTAAGTTTGCAATTACTGGTTCGTTTCTTCATTTCTTTTCAACGGACAACATGACATTTATCTCTTTTCGTTCAGTGCTGAATTTGCACTTGCTCGTGTCTGTTGTTATTATATTATTGCCGCTGCTCTCTGGCTCCGGCTTGCCCTGCTGGTTGCCTTCATTTATATTACCCTGGCCTCTCTGTCGCCACTCTGCTGGGCTGCATTTCCCGCCACTTGCCTGCTTTTCCCCACCAGTTTTCCCGCCCGCTTTCATTCATGCGCCTCACGCTGGCGCACTCATTTACCCTTTAAGCGAATCGTTTTCCCCCAAACTCCCAGCCTTCCCCCTTTTTTGCATATCATTTGCGCGCATCTTGTTTACCCCACAGCCTCCCCCCAGTCCCTGGCAAGACCCCCCTTTAAGTGCATTACAATGAACTACGCTGGAGCCCCCAAACATTCACCCCCCGTCGTGACTCGTAAATAAGTTTTATTGTGTTTGTGTGTGCCCACGCCCCCGAAAAAACAGAGACGAGACCCCCAGCGCCCCCCTAAGCGCCGTGTTGCCCCTCCGCAGGTCCAGCGGCGATGCAAGTTATCGCTTCCTTGGGTTTTTGTTTTCGCTTTTCCATTTTTTGATAATTTAGCCAGCTTGCGCGCTTCCCAACGAAGTTGTCTAAATTGCTGGCATACATTCAGCTGCTAAGACACAGGGAGAAAACTAAACTAAATGGGGTTTAAATTTGGATAGCAAAGTGTATAATATAGAATATATTCTATTAAAATAGGAATTAAAATACACTTAATCATCTACGCAGGGAATTTCTTGTTAAACTTTTATTATTTTAGTATTCTTTCTATTTAACCTATTAATATTTCAAATATAAAGTAATATCTCATTACAAATTGGATATAGTTATTCGATACATATCTAAAAAATATTTGACTTGAGCATTCTCCATAAATTTCTCTCTGTGTTCTGCAGTTGCCTCTGCTCCTGCTGCTCCTGATGCTGCTACTGCTAGTGCCTTTTGTCTAGGTCCCAGGCAAATGACTACAAGAGTGGGCTTAGCAGGGACTCGAGGACCGGACCCGAGGACCAGCGTCCCGGCATCCCGACATTCCCGGCGTCCGCTGCTGAATTATGGCATTCCTAATATGGGGGATAGCTGTTGCTGCCCCTGCCGCAGCCCTGCCCCCATTGCCGCACGACCTTTGGGCCACTGTTGTTGCATATTTAAGGGCGATTGGGCGCAATTGTTGCGCGTTTTATTGTTTTGGGAATAAGTGCGGATTTATAGAATATATTTTTTTGTTTGCCGCTAGTAGTAGTAGTTTTCCGCTAAGCTGGCCCCGCGAGAGATTTTCGGTTTGTTTTTTCTTGTGCAACAATATTTTTAAGTGCAATGCTCAGCAGTTTTAGGCCAAGGAATATGAAAATGGGTAAAGAAGACGGGGAAGCAGAGTGAACCTCACATCGACAGCACATGACGTGAACTCAATTACCGTCTACTATCTGCCCCATATATAGTCTAGTATATATAGTACTCCCACCAAGGGGGGCGTGGCTGTTGGACTCCACAAATTACGAATGCCGCTTTGCATGTAAATGTGCACTTTTCTGGCCCAGCATCAAAATTAATATACACCGCAGTGCCCCCAAGAAGTGCAAGGGAGAGCGGAAAAAGAGACAGCTGCAAAACTAGAGAAAGAGACGGCCACAGAGTGCCAGAGATGGCGCAATAATAACAATGAAAATGCACAGAATGCGCCTTATATAAACGACAACAAATTGCCCATTTGGCACAGAAGACGACGATGATGAGGCCGGGGTTCGTTAGTGCTCCTCTCCAGTCCTCCAGGCCGGTGTACGGGGGAAATGGTTAGCAAACCCGTGACATGGTAGACATTAATTGGCTGCCATGTCATTCTGTTTATGGACAGGACCTGGCCCACTCTCCTCCGACCACTGGCTACTCTCCACTGTCAACGCCAGGCAATTCAGATCGGAACATTAGCGCTGGACGCGGCGACCAGGAAGGGAATATTGATTAATATACATACAAAGCCGAGTAAGGAGCAGCGCTGTGCGAGTGCCATGATGAATGGTAATTCGCAGGGATATACCTCACTTCCCACTGGTAGTTCCTTGAGGAGTGCGATAACAAAATCATTGCAAAGGAGATGCTTTACACATAATTGCCTTCTAACTTAAATGAAATCAATCACAAGGCATTCCCAATTTTTCTTAAAGAAATAATTGAATAAATCATAAATAAAACGAATTTCCTTTCTTAATAAATTCATAAATCTATGAAATTTGATACCCATACGTGATTGTAGGACTTATTTGCCTTAATTAACATGGCTTGAACTAATAAATCTTGCAGATAAAATTATATTCTTGAATTAATTCATTCTCTTTTATAATTAATTATAAATTCCCCTTTGAGTGTAGCAATGACAGATGCACAAACAAGATAAACCGAATGCACACTAAAAACCAAACCCCGTTCGCTTTAATGACCCACTTTGCGACTCAATGAAAAGATATCCCTATCAATTCGATAATTGTTTCCCCATCAATCAAAATTGATGAATGCTCAGGCCTCCGTTCCACTCCTCCGATTGATGTCCCTGACCCCAAAAAGCCGGCTCGGATGCAGTAGCAACCGGAAGGGCAGGGGTGGAGGAAGGCAGCGCCATGTCAGCTGTCCAGGCAACATTACGCATACGCCACATGGGACGGCCGAAAAGGGATGCTATCGAGATCGGAAGGCAGAGACAGGTCGGAGTATGTGTGTGTGTGTTGTGCAGTGCGTCAGGTATCCAACAGACAACGGCTCTGGTTGTGTCTCTGGTTCTGTTTCTGGTTTTTGGCCATGGTCCTGTCCTGGCCTCTCCAGCTAGACAGCCGTATTATTAACGCAGTGGCTGCTGCTGGCATTTGCAATTTTACGCCGCGCATGTGCCACTTACGTGTTTGGCTGCCACAAAACTCCGCTTGGCTTGGCTGACTTGGCTAAGCTCCTATCATGTTCAAGTGCTTGGCCCCAAAAAAAAAAGCAGAACAAAAAACGAGATGGGGAAGGTAATTCGGCAAGTCGAAGCGAGGTTTACCCTTGGAATAACATAGATATTTCAACAGGAGCTGTATCAGGAAACTCCTTTAAACTAGCATAGATATTTAGGAATTTATATTTTATCCTTGTTTTAACTATAGAGTATGAGTCTGAGTTTTCACCTTACCAACTTCTTTTACCATTAACTATACCCTCTCTGTTAGGGTAGAATAATAAACTCTAAACCAAGAAAGAACAACGTGGCAAATGCATAGGGCTTCTGATGTTGCTGCTGCTGATGCTGCTGCACTTCCACTTGAGCAAACTCGCGGTGTCACATTCGTCGTCGCCAGTCAGTCAGTCATAGTCACAGTCACAGAGCTCCAGCTCCAGCTCCGGCTGTGTTGCAATTCTTGTGGTATTTGTGGCATAAAATAAAACGTAAATGAGCAGCAGCATTCAGCGACGGTGGCGGTGGCAGCAACATCACGATGCCACAATCTCATTTCGGCCTGTCGTATTGAATTCAATGCATTTTCCAACAGCAACACCTTGAGGTGTTCATTTTCATGCCAGAAGAAAATGCGCTTAATTATGCGGCCGAGCAAAGCGATTCTTTTATTTCGTTGTCGCTCGCCTGCTTTTTTGGAGGCCATTTGCGCCACAAGAGGCAAGATGTCTTGCAACTGGAGCGCACTGCAAGGCCGCATGTAGCATTCGGTGCAGCATTGCATTTATTGCAACAGAATCGCAATTGGTTGGAAAAGTTTTACGGCCAAACAGAAATATGAAGAGAGCGATAACTTGAAGAGTTATTGCCAGAGACAGCCGGGGAAAACACAAGCCAGGCGGTGGCGTTGGCGGCGGCTGCGGGAAAAAATCCCAGCAGAAATATGAATGAATACTTTATTGAATATTGTGCGACGTATGCAAAATGATGGCCAGAACTGACGCTGCGCTGCTCCTGCTGCTGGCGCTGTTGGCCGTTTCGGGTAAACCGAAGACCGCAACTGACAGGAAACCATTTAAACTGACCTCAAATGACAACGACAGCGACAGCCGGGACCCAGTCTCAGTCCCATTCCGCAGACCCATTCCCTTTTCCGGAAAATACATGCGAAATACAAAATGCAATGCCCGTTGGAGGGGCCACAAAAAAGTAAAGCGACCCCACCCGAACCCAAAACGCAACCCAAAAACCCATGGTAACCCATAGATGGACAATGGCTGGCTGGGTGCTGGCTGGGTGCTGGCTGGCTGGAAAAATAAAAACGAGGGAGCGAAGGAAAGAAACGACCAAAATGGTAGCTAGCCACAAACAAATTGGCAGCAATTTGAGGACCCAACAAAAGGCGACAAAAGCCCACCGAACACCGAACGTTGCTGTAAGCTCCACGATGCAGGACTTTCGCGGATTGGGTGACTCAACGGCGGTGCAGAAAAACCAACAGGAGTCGGGGCCCTGTTGATGGAATGAAATGAAATATAGAATACAATTCCACATGCCGATTGATTTATATGCACGTGACCCATCGCTCCCCTTTTTGTGGCATCTCTCGCTCGCTATGCTATGCAAATTGCACGGCTCAGTTATAATGCCATTCCCCCAGACAAGGCCAGCAGCCAGCAGCCT